ACAGTGTGTTCATTCAAAATGGCCAAATTTTCTAGGGGTCACGTAAATTTGAATAAAATTGTTGTCATGATGTGTCCAGTAAAAAATCAACCCATTAACAATAAAGAAGAGAATCCATAAATGAAAACAATTAATTTTTAGTTAGAAAATCAAAGATAAATCATTCATGAGAGAGGAGGTGTAAAGGTATACCTTTGTGAATCGGAAACGCTACTCTCTAAAACAGAGAACATTGGAAATTACGACTGCAGTCCCTTTAATATTTTAACTAACATGTTTTATTCTCTCATTTATTTGTAACACCCTGTTACATTTGCTTAAATGCTTGAATACAGGGAATAATTTGGCGGGAAAACTGGTTAATTCTCAATTACTAGAGCATAGCAGACCTAGCGTGAGGTGTAATATCATTTATTAAGTATTAGACCATAGATCTTTTTATATATATAATGTATATATAGATTAAAGGGGAGAGGGCTTTAGGGGCTCCTTTGATTAGTGACATGTATGCTTTCCAGGGGTTTCCAGGCCTGAACGGGGGCAAGCGCCTGGAAAAAAAAAATTAGTGCAAGCCTTCCCCCAGACAAATTTTGTCTGATATAGATCTTTGGTGTTTTATCAAGATATAGATCTATAAAAGTTGTAATAAGCAATAACAATTATTTTGGCAATTATAGCAAAAACATTTCCCTCTGTTTAAGCATTTAGAATTTTTTTTCAGAAAAAAATATATTTCCTAAAACTTTTCTTATTTAAAGTGTAAAAGATTAAATTTAGTCTTGGGGTCACTGAAATTTCGCCGACAGTCTATTTAGGTCGACTTTGTGACCTCGAAGCTCCTTTAGTTTTGATTGTATGAGCATCAAGGAGTATAGAATATCAGGGAGACGGAAACAATACGGCCCGTCCTACCATATGATTATACATGCTTTGCAGACGGGGTACTCCATTTAAAAAAAGACTTTTTAAATGGCGTTTTTTATTTTTTTAAAGGTTTTTTTTTACTATTCCACTTTAAATAAAACCAAATTTTTGTATTATAAAAAAATACGCCTGTATTGCTAATATTTGTGTATCCCAAAAAATGTATTTGTTTGCGCTATTCAGCCTTCCCCCTCCCTGTTTAATGTATTAAATAATCTATTCTGAATACATGTACGCGGACATATATTTCTTATTCAAATGAAGTAATACCGTCTGCAAAGCATGTATAAAGCATGTATAATCATATGGTAGGGCGGGACACGTTAGTCCATACTCCTTGATGCGCACAAGTATGAGAAAAGAAAATGTTCTGTTACATATTAGTAATTCAAATCATGTTTGTTCTTATCAATAGCTCTCCAATAAGAAGGAAGGGTGTCGAGCATTCTCAATTTAAAGTTAACAATTCTAAAATCTATAAAATTTGAATAAAATATTTACAATCGATCTTTTATTCCTGGAACAGATGAACTGTTTCAATAGCATGGCGGGCCATGCGCAGGAAAATTCTAGAAACTTTTATTTTAAATTCAAAGAACAATGAACGACTATTGGTTTCTTGTCTTATAACGAGTTTCCCTAGAAAATATGATAGTTTGAATATTGAACAGACTCGGAAAAACAAATCGTTAAAAAAGTAATTTATTTCTTGTACAATAGAATATTTGATTTGTTTAATGACGCTCGCAGAAATTAGGTTTTAAATGATTTCTACTTAGGAACTCTGTTCTTGCGACAAACTTAAATTTTCTAATGTCTCTATATATTTGCAACCTGAAGTTTAAAATATAAAAATATTCATGATTCCCTGAAACTGAAAACTTCTTTCATTCTTTTCCAAAACAAATATATGTTTGTAAAAACAATATTCAATACATAAGTCTAAATTTAACCTTTGGATTATCATATCTTAAGAGGTTTAGGTCGTTTTTGCAGTCTCATTCTTTGTGGGTAACCAACCAGTATAATTTTTATCTGATTTAGCGCAAGAAAGAAGTAGGACTCGTTTGTTATTTTTTTAGGAGCCACGAAAAAAAATATAGTATTCATGAAATCCAATTAACACCTAACCGCCCCGCTTATCATTGAAGTACACTTTGAACCCTAATAGTGTTCACGGACTAAACAATTCTTGGTGATTTGGATTGCGTATTTAAGGTATCTAAGTTTTTAATATATCTATGGTTTTCATCTAGGGATCTGGAGGAGGGGGATGATCTGTATTTTGAATGTCATGTAAAAGCACATCCTCCAGTTTACAAGATTGTTTGGAAATATAATGTAAGTATATATTTTACAATTTATTCTGGGCGCGCTTCGCACCTCTTCCTATAGGAAATAGTTTCCTTTGCACAATAAACAGACAACTTGGGATATTTTTGTATAATTAAGATGTCTATGATTTTGCCCTTCAAGTTGAGCTTTTTTTCAGGCAATTTATTTTATTTTTAGCGCTCATATAGCTTTCCTGGGTCAAAAAGAAACAAAGCAAAAGAAAAACTTGTAAATACGATATATTAGTTTGGACTTGTTAAAGGCCTTTGACGTTTGGTTTTCAACTATTCCAATATTCTGTTGAATCTGTTAAACTAAAGATAGAAATTGCATAAATCTGGAATAAATTGAAAAGTTCTGAGAAATTCTAGATTGATTTTTAGCTTTAGAATTTCCTGACTTTTTAACCTTGACGGTCTGGTTCATTATGGGATCCGATATTTTTTTTAACTTAAATATCCCGTAGACTTTTTTATCTATATTTCCGGGGGGATACAAAAATTTCATATCAAAGGGACATTTTTTTTATTAAAGGTTGATATAGCGATAACCAAAAAACTCTGGAATAAAAAGTCGACTTTGAGACTCAAGTTATGACTTTAGATAGTTCAATGAACCTGAGACATAGCAATTGTGCAGTGTAAACAGACTCATTTCACTTAATTATTGATTTGATAACTTACTTAGTAACGGCATATTGCTTTAATTCTACAGTTTTCTGGTTAACACTGTAATATTTATATTTACATACAGCAAACCTTGAAAATTTGGGATCATTTGATGTACCGTCTCAATTTTTGGGCAACTACATAAAGCAATTTATGTACGGTACGATATACATGCAACCAATAGAGGAGGAAACGTGACAGTAAACCCAATGAATGGCCCCTGAAATGTATGCATTCCATGGTTTTCCAGGCCTGAACGGGGGAAAGCGCCAGGAAAAAAAAAATTAGTGCAAGCCTTCCCCCAGACAAATTTTGCCTGATATAGAAGATATACTATATATATACTATAATAACTATTTTTATTTTAAACAAAAATAATGTTATGGAATTTTTCTGCTTTTTCAAAAAGTCCAAAGTCAAAAAGTAAACAAACATTTTAACTTTAAGAAATTGTTTACACAACGTGTAATATTGCTTTTAAACTTAAATTTCTGAGGTTCATGTTAAAGAGCGGGACCAAATGTAATCTGGATAATGGGATAATGTTTGCCCGAAAACTTTTTTTTTTTTTCAGTGCTTTACAGTTTTGGGGCGCAAATTAAGTATTTTTTGTTTTCATCTTGTCCTAAATATTCTAAATTAATCTGGGAAACATTATACATATATACATATACACATATATACAACTAATTTAACATTAAAGCACGATTATTACTTTGAGTGGTTAAGTACACAATACCTTCATAAATAGATAATTTAATTTTAGATATATTCCATCACCCGAGCATCATCGGCAAACAATCACGTGTCGAGCCTCGAACTACAAGCTGATGAGTGGAAACTCGATCGAAGATCATCGAACCCTGGATGTATTCTTTGCTCCAAGGGTTGAGCTTAAACTAGGACCTGCAGTTAATCCGAAGTAAGTTAATCCGTTTCTTTCTGAAATAATGAATATAATATAATATAATATAAATTCTTCTAAGGATATGCAGTGATCGGTGATTATATCAACACGATGAAGACGACTTTCTATAAATAATGCTTTGATCCCTAACAAGCCTTTCTAAAATTACAAGTTTACAAGTAAATAAAGAGAAGCTGTTATATTGAAAAATTGTCTTTTTAATAGGTTAAGGATTACTGCTGTTTGAAAGCTTGGTATAATTCAGAATTGAAAAAGAAAGTTGTCTAATGTCTATATCGTATTGATATTTACGACGACGACTATATTTAATAATAAGACAAAGATAGGAATCAGTTTAAAGCTTTTTATGGAGAGTTATGAATGTCACAAAATGTCAGTCTTCCGACTCAAACGCACTGTATTCTGTATTCTCTACCTAGGGGTTTAAAACAGGTCTATTCAACGTTGAATTTTACATGTAACTAACTACTTATTGAAACATAAGGTTACAGGTTAAATAGGATGACCGGCGTATTTCCAATTCTTACAACATTCCATAATAATATATTTGAATCCCCCCAAGCTATTAAAGTATTTCCAATTCTTACAACATTCCATTATAATATATTTGAATCTCCCCAAGCTATTGAAGTTATAAAACACAATTTTATTTTTAAATTCTATATTAATGCCTCATTGTTTACTCTAACCTGTAATTTTTAAAGGTAGTAAACCATAAAAAGCTGATTGAGCCGTCAATCAATCAATTAAATATCATGACTTGAAAATATACAGAATTAGATTTGAACAGAGTTTGCAACTTTTGAATGATATCCAGATTCTGGTCCAACGAAACCTATATAAGGATACCTATAACCTGCTCTAAAGAAACCAATATAAGGATATTTAGATCCTGGACTATTGAAACCTGTGCAAAATATCCTGGTCTAATGAAACCTAACAGTGTGTTCATTCAAAATGGCCAAATTTTCTAGGGGTCACGTAAATTTGAATAAAATTGTTGTCATGATGTGTCCAGTAAAAAATCAACCCATTAACAATAAAGAAGAGAATCCATAAATGAAAACAATTAATTTTTAGTTAGAAAATCAAAGATAAATCATTCATGAGAGAGGAGGTGTAAAGGTATACCTTTGTGAATCGGAAACGCTACTCTCTAAAACAGAGAACATTGGAAATTACGACTGCAGTCCCTTTAATATTTTAACTAACATGTTTTATTCTCTCATTTATTTGTAACACCCTGTTACATTTGCTTAAATGCTTGAATACAGGGAATAATTTGGCGGGAAAACTGGTTAATTCTCAATTACTAGAGCATAGCAGACCTAGCGTGAGGTGTAATATCATTTATTAAGTATTAGACCATAGATCTTTTTATATATATAATGTATATATAGATTAAAGGGGAGAGGGCTTTAGGGGCTCCTTTGATTAGTGACATGTATGCTTTCCAGGGGTTTCCAGGCCTGAACGGGGGCAAGCGCCTGGAAAAAAAAAATTAGTGCAAGCCTTCCCCCAGACAAATTTTGTCTGATATAGATCTTTGGTGTTTTATCAAGATATAGATCTATAAAAGTTGTAATAAGCAATAACAATTATTTTGGCAATTATAGCAAAAACATTTCCCTCTGTTTAAGCATTTAGAATTTTTTTTCAGAAAAAAATATATTTCCTAAAACTTTTCTTATTTAAAGTGTAAAAGATTAAATTTAGTCTTGGGGTCACTGAAATTTCGCCGACAGTCTATTTAGGTCGACTTTGTGACCTCGAAGCTCCTTTAGTTTTGATTGTATGAGCATCAAGGAGTATAGAATATCAGGGAGACGGAAACAATACGGCCCGTCCTACCATATGATTATACATGCTTTGCAGACGGGGTACTCCATTTAAAAAAAGACTTTTTAAATGGCGTTTTTTATTTTTTTAAAGGTTTTTTTTTACTATTCCACTTTAAATAAAACCAAATTTTTGTATTATAAAAAAATACGCCTGTATTGCTAATATTTGTGTATCCCAAAAAATGTATTTGTTTGCGCTATTCAGCCTTCCCCCTCCCTGTTTAATGTATTAAATAATCTATTCTGAATACATGTACGCGGACATATATTTCTTATTCAAATGAAGTAATACCGTCTGCAAAGCATGTATAAAGCATGTATAATCATATGGTAGGGCGGGACACGTTAGTCCATACTCCTTGATGCGCACAAGTATGAGAAAAGAAAATGTTCTGTTACATATTAGTAATTCAAATCATGTTTGTTCTTATCAATAGCTCTCCAATAAGAAGGAAGGGTGTCGAGCATTCTCAATTTAAAGTTAACAATTCTAAAATCTATAAAATTTGAATAAAATATTTACAATCGATCTTTTATTCCTGGAACAGATGAACTGTTTCAATAGCATGGCGGGCCATGCGCAGGAAAATTCTAGAAACTTTTATTTTAAATTCAAAGAACAATGAACGACTATTGGTTTCTTGTCTTATAACGAGTTTCCCTAGAAAATATGATAGTTTGAATATTGAACAGACTCGGAAAAACAAATCGTTAAAAAAGTAATTTATTTCTTGTACAATAGAATATTTGATTTGTTTAATGACGCTCGCAGAAATTAGGTTTTAAATGATTTCTACTTAGGAACTCTGTTCTTGCGACAAACTTAAATTTTCTAATGTCTCTATATATTTGCAACCTGAAGTTTAAAATATAAAAATATTCATGATTCCCTGAAACTGAAAACTTCTTTCATTCTTTTCCAAAACAAATATATGTTTGTAAAAACAATATTCAATACATAAGTCTAAATTTAACCTTTGGATTATCATATCTTAAGAGGTTTAGGTCGTTTTTGCAGTCTCATTCTTTGTGGGTAACCAACCAGTATAATTTTTATCTGATTTAGCGCAAGAAAGAAGTAGGACTCGTTTGTTATTTTTTTAGGAGCCACGAAAAAAAATATAGTATTCATGAAATCCAATTAACACCTAACCGCCCCGCTTATCATTGAAGTACACTTTGAACCCTAATAGTGTTCACGGACTAAACAATTCTTGGTGATTTGGATTGCGTATTTAAGGTATCTAAGTTTTTAATATATCTATGGTTTTCATCTAGGGATCTGGAGGAGGGGGATGATCTGTATTTTGAATGTCATGTAAAAGCACATCCTCCAGTTTACAAGATTGTTTGGAAATATAATGTAAGTATATATTTTACAATTTATTCTGGGCGCGCTTCGCACCTCTTCCTATAGGAAATAGTTTCCTTTGCACAATAAACAGACAACTTGGGATATTTTTGTATAATTAAGATGTCTATGATTTTGCCCTTCAAGTTGAGCTTTTTTTCAGGCAATTTATTTTATTTTTAGCGCTCATATAGCTTTCCTGGGTCAAAAAGAAACAAAGCAAAAGAAAAACTTGTAAATACGATATATTAGTTTGGACTTGTTAAAGGCCTTTGACGTTTGGTTTTCAACTATTCCAATATTCTGTTGAATCTGTTAAACTAAAGATAGAAATTGCATAAATCTGGAATAAATTGAAAAGTTCTGAGAAATTCTAGATTGATTTTTAGCTTTAGAATTTCCTGACTTTTTAACCTTGACGGTCTGGTTCATTATGGGATCCGATATTTTTTTTAACTTAAATATCCCGTAGACTTTTTTATCTATATTTCCGGGGGGATACAAAAATTTCATATCAAAGGGACATTTTTTTTATTAAAGGTTGATATAGCGATAACCAAAAAACTCTGGAATAAAAAGTCGACTTTGAGACTCAAGTTATGACTTTAGATAGTTCAATGAACCTGAGACATAGCAATTGTGCAGTGTAAACAGACTCATTTCACTTAATTATTGATTTGATAACTTACTTAGTAACGGCATATTGCTTTAATTCTACAGTTTTCTGGTTAACACTGTAATATTTATATTTACATACAGCAAACCTTGAAAATTTGGGATCATTTGATGTACCGTCTCAATTTTTGGGCAACTACATAAAGCAATTTATGTACGGTACGATATACATGCAACCAATAGAGGAGGAAACGTGACAGTAAACCCAATGAATGACCCCCCCTTCAAGGGAAAATATATTAAATTTATTTGTTTTAAAAGTTTGACGGTTCGATCGGATATATGTAACATACAAATATACAATATAAGTATACGTAAATATATACATACAATATAGGTAGGTAACCTACATACAAACAATATAGGTATAGGTAACATGCATACAATTTAGGGATTGATAACTGACTACATACATATATACGTACAATATAGCTGTACGTTAATACAAACAAATTAGATACTCTGGTTTATAAATAAGATTTCTTTAACAAATACTGTACAATGTACATACAATGGTCAAAACTATCCAAAGAGGAAGAAAGTAGAATAAATATTTGATCCCATTAGTAAGTTTTCATGAAATGACGGTAAAAGACCGATTATTACTATAGACGAGGGTAGGGATCGGGGGAGTAAGGTATATATATTATGGTCCCGAGGGGGGAGCAATGGTAAAGAGGGGGGGGGGGTTGCAAACAGATATAATATAGATTAAGTTATCTTGTAGTTGCATTAATCTGAGGAAACTCAGAGTTAGTTTAATAATAGATGAACCATCATTGAATTATAATAAGAAGAAATACAATTTTTTAAAAACTTATTAACAAATTAAATACGAATTGATTACCTAAAAAGAAGATACAACAGTCAGAGAAAAAAGTCACTGCTCTTTTTAAGCTTTTTTAAGAAATTTTAATTTAAAATAAATGTTAAAAATTGTTTAAGGGTCGGGAGCTGTATCCTGGACAAGATCAGGGAAGGATTGTTTTCAACCAAAGCCTCGTGATTCAAAAAGTCAGGTAAACATATTTTTACAATTGTATGCAAAAAATACAAATAAGAAATCCATTGATGCTAGGCTTTTAGGGCGCTGTTTCAACAATCAACTTTTAATTGTGGCTCTATCTGTGAACATCTCCTCTTTGTACAATATAAAAAAAAAAACCTCGCGGATTTAGTAATATTTTTTCGTGTTTTTTTTTTAATTTTACCAAAATCTAAATTTTTTGAGACATATTGTTAAAACTCTGCGCATACATAAACCTTCCATGTGAGGTCCCACAAAAAATGTGGGCCCGATCAGTTTAGTTATTTTGACGTTTATCGGTTACAAACAAACCGACAAGTAAAGTATATATAAAGATAATCAATGGTAGACACGATTCTCTCTTTTTAATAATTTTCTGAAATTTCTTATTTTCGATAAATGTATTCGAGGATTAGAAAATTTGTTCAGCTCCTATAACTATAGGTTTGTGATATAGCGACAAAAGTTGGTTGTTATAAAACAATAAACCCCGGATATTCTACTAAACGACTCTATAACTCCCAATTATTTATTTATTTATTATATTTAGGACGTAAACAGGCAATAATTGAACAATACTGCTTTTTTTATTTTCTTCTGTACAGTGTACATACACACATACTACATACAAAAGTACTCTGATTGTTTTAAGCAGAAATTTGCCTAAAATATCACGGGCAACGTCGGGCACTTCAGATAAATAAAGCTCTTCATATACATAAATATATATTTATAAATATTATTATATGTTAGCTATAGCTGATTGGCTGACATTTTTTTAGGGGACCCATATGAGTACCTTACTCTAATATAGCTAACTTCGAACCAAAATTTGAATTTTTAAACCCCTTCGGAATGAGTTTATGAACACTAAACAGCTGGAGGTTAATATTAGTCAAAATTGAAAATTGAATTTTTTATAATTTTACGACGTACTTTTTGGAGGATACTGTACCCGCCAATCTTTTAAAATTAGAATATTCTTGTTATATAAGTTTCACAATATTTTGAATGTTTGAAATGCAAAAATATGAAGGGCATCAAATTCTGTTGAATTTGTTTAAATTCCAATATTTTCAATGATAGCGACTAGCTTCGACCATGAAATTCGAGGAACAAAACATTGCAAAATAAAACATTTTATTTCTGCAATATTGTTTTAAAGAAATCTAAAAACATGTTTTCCAATATAATGGTTTCTCTTTAAAAATGCACTTTTCAAGTTGATTCAATCCAAAGAGTAATGAAAGTCAGATTTTGATAATTTAGGATAATATCCTAGAACATTTTAGAATTTGGTGTGACCCAACCCTTAAACAGTGAATAAAGTAGGTGTTTATAGTTCCATATTATTTTTATAAAATTAAAAATTAAAATAAATATCAACAAAATAAAAGATAAATACAAAATAGAAAATATATCAGTAAAAGATTAAATTTTTTTGACAATAGTTCCCCTGTAAAACTGTTTAAAATATTGTTATATTTTCTTGAATTAAAAACAGGAATTACTTATTTCGATATTTCAATTAAATGTTCAATCGAGACAAATGTTTTATTTCTAGCACATGGAAGGAATGAAAAAAGCCTATAAACCATATTATTTTCATATTCCTTAATTGTGCAACTTGATGCCGTAGAGCTTTATCTAATAAATAATAAAAAAATGGAATTTTGAATAAAAAATTTGGAATTTTGAGAAAAAAATTGAAATTCGGAAAATGAAATTTGATATTTATTTCAAAGAAATAAAAAAACGAATTTGAAAGAAAAAAATATGAATATATTTTATTAGCCATATCTTACCCGCGGGATACCCATGGGTTCCTTATAAATGATTTAATGGACAACTAAACATGATTGAATCACGTCGTAGACGCCTGATCAGGAATCTGATCTATGAACCTTTTGATCTCGATTTCATATTCACCCGTAGACGTCTTTATTAAATCTGGTTTTATTTGATCAAAAATTTGAAATATCAAAGGTTTGCACCATATTGGATTGCAAATATATTTAATTCTGTCCAATAGAATTGATCGTTTAATCGTTTTATTTAGAAGAATTATCCGATGAAAAATCCCGATTTAATAGAAATGCACAGTTGTATTAAACAATTTAGAGTAAATAGAATAACCGTCATGATTTAGTTGGAACCATCATCTTCTAAAAATGGATTCTCATCCATCCCCAATAAATGTTGCCACAACAGTTTATTTCTACAACTGAAGTTATTTTATTTTATTCATTGGAAAATAACTTCCATGAATGGACTGAAATTAAAAACTAAATTTTACTTGACCCTCCAATTATAGAGTGACAATCGATTAATTGTTTCTGCTGCATAAATACGCATTCCTTTATAAAAAGCCGGTTTTTTGGTATGCAACAATTTTCGTTTAATCCCGCCTCTTTTGAAGATAATGATAAATAATAAAAATAATTTGTTATTTTTTACAAAGGAATGTCATTTACTCTCAGACAAATTTGAATCAATGGAAATTTAAACCCCCTCGGGATTCAATGATAAACCCTTGGGCTACGCCTTCGGGTTTATCTGGGAATAAACTAGGATATCTCTATATTAGACGACAGGGTACCGTTTTGTAAGTGTATAAATGGAGACCCACTCTTGTAATTATTTACAACTACTTTACATCAAGGGAAGATAAGGAAATGTTACTTCACCCAGGGTTCCCGAGACAAATTTTGTCTTCAAAACATCCTGAGCTTAGCGAGGGATGTGCTGTAGGCAAAGTTATTCGAGGGTACCCGTGGACTGTGGTTAAGTAAAAATTTTAATTTCCCGAAAAATAAATTTACGAAAACTTTGCAAAACGGGTTGTTATTTTACTTTATCGTAATGTTGGTCATAGGGCGGAAAAAAGTACAAATGTCAGTTCTTTTAAGTTTATACTGTTTTTGACCAGAAGTCGCCAAATAGAAAGTTTTATAAATCTGTTATTTGTTCAGGTTGAATAATAAATTAAAAGTCAATCATTTTATATTTGCTTTAACCAGCGGCGCCGCGTTTTGAAAGTTGAATAACATATTATAGGATTTCTATTTTCAAGTTTCGTGTTTCAAGCTTAATCCATTTACCAACCTTATGATTTACATTTAAACCTAATTTTACATTTTTTGTAAAAATGATATTTAAAGGGAATTTTAAGTACCCTTCTATGCAAAGATGGTAATGCATGATTCCCTATGGCCATTGAAATATGTATTTGTTCTATTCTGTATTCTGTCGAAGATATCTTCGTTTTTCTAGGTTTAAAAGTGATTAGTTCTGATAATAACCATATGTTTCCTGTATCATAAATGCGCAAGGCACTCTGGTAAAGAAACCACAATTGAAAAGTTATAAAGATCGAGTGATACTTAATCAAATATCGGTTTTTAAATCGGACATTTCAAATTACCATAGAGAGTCACATGAAAATACGCTTACAGTCCCTTTTATGAACTAATTGATGATGTTTCATTGATAAAGAATTGTATAGCAAGATAATTATTTATTAAACAAGTGACACGAATCAAATATAATTAATTGTTCAATTTATGTTTAAAAGAATATATTCCATTTTACTTATATCATTTTGTATTCTTCTTGGGACATTTAAATAAAATAAGAACCCTCTCTGCGAAGTATTGGTGAAAAGGTTTGTGCATTTTAATCTCAAAAGACAATAAAAGAAACGTTTTATTCGGGAAATTAAAAATGCTCCTTTCCTTGACTAAGTGGAAAAGTAAATTCCCTAAACTTTCCTTTAAACTTTATTGAAATAATTAACTAAAGTAATATAAAAAATACATTTCTAATTTTGTTTCAAGATAAAATTAATAAGCTGTGCAATAATTTGAATCGTGGAAACACATTAAGAAGATNGAAGATAATTAACCTATCTAATATTTAGGAAGATAATTAACCTAATTAATATCTAGGAAGATAATTAACCTAATTAATATTTAGGAAGATAATTAACCTATCTAATATTTATGAAGATAATTAACTTGATTATTATTTTGGAAGATAATTAACCTAACAAATGTTTAGGAAGATAATTAACCTAATTAATATTTAGGAAGATAATTAACCTATCTTATATTCATGAAGATAATTAACCTAATTAATATTTCGGAATATAATTAACCTAATTAATATTTATGAAGATAATTAACCTAATTAATATTTAGGAAGATAATTAACCTAATTAATATCTAGGAAGATAATTAACCTAATTAATATTTAGGAAGATAATTAACCTATCTTATATTCATGAAGATAATTAACTTGATTATTATTTTGGAAGATAATTAACCTAACAAATGTTTAAGAAGATAATTAACCTAACAAATGTTTAAGAAGATAATTAACTTGATTAATATTTTGGAAGATAATTAACCTAACTAATATTTTGAAAGATAATTAACTTAACAAATGTTTAAGAAGATAATTAACATAATTAAAGAGTTGTCATTCAAATTTCAAGTGACCTGCCATGTCTAGATGGGATTTCCAGATTCACAATGGTACCCTTTAAGCCTTTCACTGAACAAGGATGATGGACGTATCCTTATTTTTCTAAAGAAACTGATAAACTGTTTGATATTTAAAATTATAATTGATAATTTTCTAAGAGGTACGAAAAACAAAATATTTTCATTCCATGTTCAAAAATCTTGTCCAATTTCTTGTTATGATTAATGTACACGATTTTGGGCCAAAGAAAACCCGGAATTCTTCGCTGTCGATGATCATTTAAAGGATACTCACGTTTAGATATACTTACTCTGAGTATAGCACCAGTTAGATAAGTGTGCCAGCTAGTGCTATACAATTTAGCGCAGGACCGGAACTTGAACTTTCACTCTCTTATCTGAATAGTGGTACAATGAGTATTGAGTAACTTTATTAAAAACTATGATGCAGTTAATATATATTTCTCACACTCCCTTTAATATTTAGAAAGGAGGACTCCGGAAACTATTCCTGTCAAGCCTACAATGTTGAAGGACAGCAGGAATCCGTCCCAGAAGTTCTAGACGTCATGTGTAAGTTTATTTTAAAGGGACTGATCTTAAATCTTGAAAAGAGTCATGAGATGAGCAGATGTTAGAATTTTTGTATTTATTTTACAAAAAAATTTACTCGGACTATGTCAATCTCTTGATTTTGGCACTAAATTTTATAGAGTTATGAAAAAAAATCATCAATCACTTTATATTTTTGTTCCAATGTTTTTTTACAATTTGATTCGAAAAATGAATTCTAATATGGATACAATATCGACTGAACAGCAAAGGAAGAGAATATTTTGTTCCATTTTCGAACAAACCTAAGGATTGATGATTCATTCCAAACCAAATTGAAAAAATGTAACCTAAACAATTACCATAATTTAGAATTTTTATTTATTTTTGTCCCTTTTTGTACTCAATGTTTTACTGAATAGTTTTGCGAAATATGAAAATTCCTAACTGGTTATATAACATCAAATTAATAATAATTTACGACTCCCCTCATACAATGCAAATATATTTTGATATATGTTCATTCTTAATGAGAATTACAGGGAAGGTTAGAGGGGGGGAATTGTCCCTCCCCCCCCCTTGCTTCTCCCCTTTTAGTTATTAATGTTTACACTTTACATGTTTGAATACTAATAATAATTATTTTGATTTATTTTCATTAATTATAATCATCATTATTTATAAAAGAGGACAGTTGTCGTTTTTCGAAATACTTATTTTACAACTCTTAAACTCTTAAACTCTTCATGCGTGCAAATACCTCCCCTCCCTATTCTATATTTGCAAATTTTCTTTTAAAAAAGAAAAAGAAGAATTTGTGCATTTAAAGGGACTGTCAGACAATTTCCTTTTCACGCAAAGATGGCAATTTACAACGGCATGATTAAGTATGAATTAGTTATTCATGTGTTAGTTTCTTTAAGCAGCTTATTATCATTTGCGGTTTCTTTGAGAAAGAGATTTGCACATTCCTTGTTTATAAGAGGAAATGGAGAAAATTTACAGAAATCAACACTTTTTGAGTCAGACAAACGCGGCAGTATCTTTTGATCAGATAAAGGTTTTAAGGGTACCTTTGCAAATCGGACATGGCCATTTTTCCAAGGGAGGGTTACTTGCAACCTACTCAATTTAGGACACAAAAAAATAAGAACAGTTTACGTGGTTCTACAAATCTCCCAAATCAAAATTTGAGGCAAATCGGTCATAGGGTTCATGAGATATGATCAGAAATTACTATGTTATTTTTACTCAATGCTTTTCAATTTCTCACATTTATAAATTTAGGTATTCCATCGATTTTGCACCGCTTAACGTCAAATATATTATTTATACTTGACATTTTAAAATCTAGTCTGACTTATTCCAAGTTTAATTCTTCATCGTGTAGCCTTTAAATATATTTTATAAAGTCACGAAAACATGTTTGTTATTATTTATGCATTAAAAGTTGTTCCGTTTCATTAATTTAGCTTTTCTCAAAATTGTATTTATTTATTTTACCAAACTATGAAATGCTCATTATTTAATATTATTTTGAACAATTCAAGTTATTTTTAAGTGGCAGAACAACTATTCAATCTTTTGAAGTGTTTCCCGGATTTTAACTTTTTGTCGTCTTCCGTACAAATTAATCAGTGAATTCAAATAATTAGCTATGTATTGCAAATTTGGATTTCTTATTTGTGGTTTCTTCACACACAAAAGTGGGATTATGCAAATTTTGAAGCATTTGGAGTAACGTTCATATTCCCTTTCAGGATATGATCAGCTGATTCATTGACGATTTTTCATTTAATCCTGAAATCTACCAAAAAAAAAATACAATTTATTTATATTTTTAGATGCTCCTCGGTGTGTAAGCACCCAGAAGATGATCTATGGAGTATCCGAGGGAGAAACAGCTTATATCTCCTGTATGATCGATGCTAAACCTAAACCTGATCAAATACTTTGGTATATGAACACTACCTCAGGTAGGATACAGGATACAGGATGTCCCAAAAAACATGACAATTGATGACAAGTTTTGAATGTCTTTCGTTAAGATATATTTTAAATGTTAAAATTGATGAATAACAAAAATAAATTACAAAACAAAAACGATTTATTTTTAGGGAACAGAATAATTCCTGGAGCTATGTCGACCAATATGGCTGGAGCTAGTCTTCTCTCCTATCGACCTACTACTCAGGTATAACAGGATACAGTCAGTCTCATATAGCATGCTACAACTCAGGTATAACTGGATACAGTCGGTCTCATTAAACTGTTAGAGAATTAATATAGCATGCCGTCCGTGAATCTAAAAGTTGCTATATAGCTCTCACACAAAAATCATTGATAGTTTTGCCAATTACAATGCTTTATGGCTCTAAAATGTACATGTCTACATGAAAAAGTGTTTGTGAGTTAGTCAGGTAAAATGAAAGGTCAAACGGTGAAACAACAATATGAACCTACTCTTGAAAATGTATGCAATTTTTTATAGCTTTTTATCGCTTATTTTACATTCATTCAAGTGTTGTTGCCAATTAAGCGATTTTTTTATATCGTAATTTTGAGTGCTGATATTATAAACCTTAAAAAAAACTTGTTATAGAATATGTGTGTTTACTGTTTGTATATTTCTATAAGCTTATTTTAATAATATTGCGAAACAATAAAAAATCAAAACCTTGTCAATTTTGTCAAATGAAAGTATGAAACTCCCCCTTGTCTCCCCCCCCCCTGCTACAATTTTCTTTTCAATCTTCAATGTGCTTCCAATAAATTTCCCCTGCTTACCCCCAAA